AGATATAGAGTAAAGGAGCCGCGGAATTCTGCCTACATCCTGTTACACGATTTCACCCAAAAGTTTTCCACTTTTAGAAGCTAAAACTTTTGCTATATAGAAAAAATTTAATAATTATTTTTGTACAAATGAATTGAGAAAATAACAGCATGATAGGAAAATTTCGCGGGTTCTTGAAACCTCCCGCACACTTTTTGATTAAAAACGTAGTTACCGCACAATCATCGAAAATATCCTAAAGTTTTGAAATTATAAGTTAGGAAATTGGATAAATAATCGAAAACAGTTACCTGAATGAACTTTAGTAAATCAATTATATAGTCCACAATTAAATAATGCCCCTTTTTCATTCCATATTATTTAAACAACGAATTTAGTTAATTATTTAAGTTACTAATTGTAAACATGTAGGATTAGAGATTTTCGCGTAAAATATATTAGATATTAAGAAACTTGCGTTATTGTTAAGAATTAATTGTAACAATTTACATAACAAATAAATTAATAATTATAAGAAAATCTGTAATGAAAATGGTACTTGGAGAGCCATCTAACGAGATAGGGCCCATACTCTTGAACGCACGCCCCCAATTCTCACCACGCCCCTGAACCAATTAGGGCCCGAAAACCGAAAGAGAAAAAGAGGGAAAATCTCAGTCAGCCAATTAAAATTTACTGGCATTTCCACTCTTCCCAAATTTTGAGAAACTGAAAGAGGGATTTTCCTCCCAACCACCCCAGGCTTTAAAAGGACGTGCGCAAGCGAAAAACTCGCGCACTCTCTCGCTCCTCGCAAGGTTCATTAGTTTTTATCTTGATTCACAAAGTTCGACCAAGTGCCAGGTCTAGATTCAACTCTCCAAGTACCAAACAATCACGAGGAATAAAAGAAAAAGTAAGTTGAAACTAAATTTATTATCATTAATTCTCCTTTTCCTCTTTCTATTAGAATAGCTAGACCGGAATTCGAAAAAATAAGTCTTCGAAAAGTATTTCAGCAAGGATTGGGATACTTTTCTATAAGACAATCGCGCCGTTAAAGAAAAATTAAATTCTTTTTTGTGATAATTCCAGCAAGGTCTGGGATTTTCACATCCAAGTCCCGATTCCATTGGACCCTGGTGTTTGACGGAAGATTGGAATGCAGTCCAATTTTATTTTTCTCTCTTTTAACGCGAAACGCGAAATAGAAAAGCTCTGATTCTCCAATTGCTCGTCCCTGTTTAGGCGTACGCACACAAACCAAATAGAGCACCTGAGATATCGTCCGCCTCAGACGTACCTGAGATAGTGACCCGGACGTCACAATACTATGTCTGGTTTCAGGTTTTTGACTTTTTAAAATTTTGTTGGCCTATGTAATCATAGTAATTAAAATATTCAAATGCAGTCTTTATAAATTGTTTATTGTAAATTATAAATCCATTACCAATGAAGTCTTGAGAGATTGGTAATTGATTACAATTTCTCAATTGTTTTACAATAATATGTTATATATTACATTATACTATTCTTAATAATTCAGTATAGTATTGATAATAATACTTTTTCTATTATTCACAGAAAGCAAAGAAGACAGCGCAGAAAAAATTTCATCAAATGGTTGTTTACGAATGAAAACAAGATTTGGTACCACCTGAAGCAGTTCCGTTACCCGTGCATATGAAAGTGAAAGTAATGTAGCAAGTTCATCAGGTGAAAAAAATGCTAGAGCACTGGATAAGAAGATATTTGGTATTTTATATTATTAGTTAAATAATTTCTTGTTTCCCTATTAATAATAAATTTTTAATGAAAAATAAATGTAAATAATGATTTTATTTCAGACTCTGAGGAAAAAAATAGTTAATGAAACTAGAAAATTGAGCACTGTTTAAACATTGCAACAAGCCCTTGACCTGTATGTACCTGTGGATGATGATGTTTAACCATATACTGATCCTGGTTCTCCTGTTCAGTCTTCGTTTTATAATACTTCTCGTATTAACAGTGGAAGAATTTCTCCACCTCATGAATACATAGAGTCAGAAGTTATAATAAATGAAGATAATCTTGATAGAGATACACCACTTCGAAAGTGTTGTATATTCAATAAATCAATACTAAAGCTTGTAATTTAATTATGATTTATTGTATAATGTAAGAAGAATCACATAAAAGAAGGAGAGTTGGTATTCGACTAACTAACGCTACGTTCATGATAAACAAGAGAGCGCAACGCTATTCAACTATTTAGAGTTAATTAAAAATCATACATTACATTCCTCCACCTTTAGAAAAAAAATATCACCTCAAACTTCATTATAAATCAAAAATTTTTCTAGGTTTAATAAGTCTTGAAGAGTGACGTAAACTAATTGGAACATCAGAATTAACCTTAGAATCATAAACATTTTCATTTTGAACAATAGAATCTACTTTTGGACTATCTGTATTTTTAATAACATTTGATTGAACGCATTTTTCAAAATCATTCTCACACACATTTACTTTATCTTTATCAATCACATCATTCTGAAAGACAATAACGGTAGGACTCATGCATTTTTCCGGTGTTCGTAAAGTATCGTTATCACGCATTGATAAATTACACGATTGCAATTGATTTACATGACGCTTCCATTCTCGCTGATCATTTGTTGTGACATTGTATATAATAGGACTTATCTGTTTACTAACTTCAGCTTTTCGCCAATTACCATTTGCATAATCTCTAGCCATTACTACTTCTCCTTCGTCAAAACTCACCTTCCTATTACCTCTAAAAAATTTTTACTCATCTGCTTGTTTAAGTGCAACACGATTGCCAACATTTTCTTTCAATAAATCCCATCTTGTACGAAATTTTCTTCCCATTTGTAATTCAGCTGGACTTACACCCGTTGTGCAATGAGGAGACGAGCGGTAATGAAATAAATATTTTGCAAGAGCTTCCTTTCTTGTTGAACATTGTCTATTCGGAATTTTTATTTTAGCTTTGAAAGTTTTCACAATCTTCAAATAACTTCGATATAAACGTAGGACCATTGTCTGTAACTAGCTTTTTTGGAATTCCCCAAGTTGCAAAATAATCTCTGAACACATCAATAGTAGTTTCCGCTGTAATATTATTCAATTCTCTTATATCAAGCCACTTTGAATAACTATCTAAAATTACAATTGTGACGAATCGATAAGATCAGTGGAATGATCTCGCTAGAAGTGCGATCGATGGCGCTCGGCGCTGTCTCGCGAGCAACTTCAGGCCGAGGCTCGCTAGCGAGTTGCTCGGGCCGCGGAGCGCGGCTGACTCCGTTTCCCGCCGCCGAAGCGACAACAGCTGAAGAGGGCTCCGTGCTGTTTCCATCGTAGAAGAAGACGGGCAATCCTGAGATAGTGCCTAATGTATTCCTTTGGATCAGTGAGATAATCGGACGGTGGAGCATGTGCCGCAATAGAAGAAGGATTTCTCCATCATCATTGTTGGTGGGGATTCAATGAATTCTACAACTAGAGTAACGTGATATAGCGTGAGTCGCCTCAAATACACAGACCGTTGAAGTTTTGAATTATTTAAATATAAACACCGAACGAGAAATGAAAGGGCCGTTCGCGCGGAAATGAAATGAATCTGAAATCAACAAAATAACCGATATTATTTGTAATATGGATGGTGTAACGAGTGATAAATTTATATAGATAAATCGCGTATTTTATTTAGATTTATAAAATATAAACTCTAAGAGAATCAGAGTGACCGCTCTTCTTTTATAATATAACTTGCATGACTGGCCATTAAATTTTATAACGTCAATTGCGTATTTGACTTAGTTTATGAGTGTAGCGGAGTGAGTGGTGTGAGTATGGAATGAATGAGTTTGCGAAAATAATTTAATGTGGAAATGAGAAATATAACGAATATGTGAAGAAATGAGTGTGTGACGGATGTGATGTTACCGTGTATGAATAGCATAATGATCTGATCGAGTTAAGGAGATTGCGAGATTAGAGAAATAGGATTAGATGATAATCTTATAGAAGAATTTATTTACTTATGTTTCATATGCTCTACCCGTAAATTAACACCGAATTATTCATTGTTGAAATTTTGACATTGACTTGCTTGTTTATGTATTCCTAAACCTCAAGTATGTGATCATTTGAATAAATACCATAATATTTAATTTTGATATTTACATATTTAAATTTAATATTAACACAATATGCATTTTCCCATAAGTTGGTCCACAAAAATCTGCATGTAAACGTTGATTCGGACTTTCTGGCTAATTCCACACATGCAATGACGCTTTCGGTGGATTATCAGCACTTTCAAGACACAACTCACATTGTTTACATTTATTTTCAATCGGTCCATCGACGGCCACCAAACGTATGAGCGAGCCAACATCTTCGTGCGTACAACACCCATATGCGAACTATGAAGCTCATTTAACATTTCTTCTCTGATACTTAAAGGAACACACACACACGATAACCCCACACAACACAACCATTTTCCAATGTTAACTCCCTTTCTTTGCTTTTATAAGGTAATAAACTATCATGTACACTTTTAGTCCAACCATTCAATAAATATTTCTTAACTGAATTCAAAACTAAGTCTTTATCAGTCTCACTTCTAATTGTTTCTAATGAAGATGATCTAACCCCTTCACTAAAATAATTTAAATAACTATATTCTTCATTATTGGTACTAGTATTACTTTTAATAGGAAATCTTAATAAAAAATCAGCCCTCTTATTATCAATTCCCCTAATGTACCGTAGTTCATAATGTATATATATTATAATATATATATATTAGTAATGTATTATATATGTAGCTAAAATAACACTCCATCGTTGAACTCTATTTGCAGCCATTGCCGGTAAACCTTTTTATCTCCAAAAATATAAATAAGTGGCTTATGATCTGTCTCTAAAATGAAATGTCTCCCATACAAATACTGATAAAAAGTTTTTACGCCAAAAACCAACGCAAGACCTTCTTTATCAAGCTACGAGTAATTACGTTCTGCTTGTATAAGTGGTCTTGATGCAAATGCAAATGGTCTACAGTTACCATCAGGAAAAATATGCGACGCTTCCGCTCCAATATCCTCAGGGCCTGCATCAACGGTGATTTTGATAGGTAACCTTGTGTCATAATGTATTAAAACTTGATCGGAACTCAAACTCGCCTTAGCTTTCTCAAAGGCTTCATGATAATCCTGAGTCCATTTCCAACGAAAATCTTGTCGCAGTAACCTATCTAGTAGGCTAACAATGAATGCATAATTTTCTATAAATTTTGAATGATAATTCATCATACCTAAGAAAACTTGTAATTCTTTGACGTTCTTTAGTATCTCTACTTTTTTGATTGCTACAATTTTCTTTTCTGAAACGTGAATGCCTTCCGCATCAATCGTATAGCCTAAAAAATCAATTTCTGATTTTGCAAAATCACATTTTTCTTTCCTGACAGTCAAACCAACTTCATTAAAACGTAATAAAACTTCTCTTAATCGCGTGTCATGCTCGTGAACATCTTTTCCAGTAATCAAAATATCATCAAAAAATTTCAACACTCCAAGAATACCCTTCAATAATTCTTCAATTTCTCCTTGAAAAATTCCAGGTGCCGTAGCCACACCAAAAACGAGTCTTTTGTATCTAATCAGCCCTTTATGCGTAGTAATAGTTGTCAATTTTTGAGATTCATCATCGAGTAAGAATTGTTGATAAGCATTCATTAAATCAAGTCTTGTAAAAATCGTACCTCCTGTAAGCATTGCTAATAAATCTTGTGTTCTTGGAATAGGATGTCTATTTACAATTAAATGTTTATTTAAAGTAATTTTATAGTTCCCACAAATTCTTACTTGACCATTAGATTTCATAATCGGTACCATTGGTGTCGCCCATTCACTCGACTCAACTTTTTCCGCAACACCCGACTTAATTAACCTATCTATTTCCGCTTCAACTTTCTCTCGCAACGCATACGCTACTGGTCTCGGTTTACAAAACTTCGGTGTAACGTTTGGTTTCAATTCTAATTTGAACGTTCTCCTATTATATGTGCCTAATTTATCAGTGAAAACATTTTTAAACTCTTTAACAATTGCTAAATATCTACTCTCACATTCACTGATTACTTTAATTTCATTCAATTTACATTCGAAATTTTTAATAATACCTAACGCATCTAACCAACCTCTACCCAAAATCGGTTTACTATTACCCGGTAAAACATACAATAATAATTTACAATTTATGTTTGCAAATAACACGTCAACTTTAACTAAACCAATCGGAACAATAGTATCGCCAGAGTAACTTTTGAAAATTCGATTCGATTCATACATTCTTAAACACTTCAATTCCCTTCTACCAAAAAAATAAGTACTCGACATTGCCGTAATAGGTGACCCGGTATCAATTTCAAACATGATTTTAACATTTTCAACAGTCACCTTGATCTCTAGAGGTTTAATTTTTGTCTTATTTTCATCTTCAGATAAGTGATAAAGATTATTAAATTCTTGTTCAAAATTATCTACTTCATCAATATAGTTTTGTTTAGAATTGTCTCTATTGAAATTAGTTGTTCTAATCCCACTGCGATTATTATTATTATTAAAATTATAACCTTGAAAATTTACTCGCTCGCTATTACTATTATTTTGACTGTTTGTTCTGAAATTATTCGCACCCCTGCTATAAGAACTTGACTGAGACTTCGCCACTTTACACAACAACAGCTAAATGACCTACTTCGTGACATACATTGCATTGATAATTGCGATACCTACAATTAGGTTTCTTATGGTTAGGTTTCCCGCAACAATAGCAATTAATGTTACTATTACCCTGTTGATCACTCGTCTTATCATTTTGATTCAAATTCTTGTTCTTCTTATCTGATACATAGTTGACCGCCGTTGAATATGCCATCTCCGTTGATTCTCCCATCCCTTCAGCATCACGTGTCGCCATTTCTGTAGATTGAGCCAACAAAACTGCTGAATCAAACGTCAAGGACATCTCTTTGAGTAGTTGCTTTTTAGTCGATTTGCAAGAAACGCCAAAAACGAACTAGTCTCACAAATGAGTCTTCAATTCTGTACCAAACTTACAATTCATAGAAAGCTTTTTCAAATTAGCAACAAATGATTTAATGTCGTCGCCCTCTTTTTGTCGACATTTTTTGAATGTATAACGCTCGCTTATCTCACTAGGCTCCGGTTTGAGATGTTTTTTCAAAATGTCAGTAAGCACTGCATAGTCTTTACTGGCAGGTTTATAAGCGTACATAACTCTCTTAATAAAGCATAACCTTTGTTACCTAAAAACGTAATCAATAACGGCACCTTCTTTTCCTCTTCAACATCATTAGCCGTGAAAAACTGTTCCAATCTCTCTTGCCATAACTCCCAATCTTCCGACAAATCATACTCCACAATCGAACTGATATAGCCCTTACCAGCCATCGCTCCTTCGACCTCTTCTTAGGTCACGAAATCATCAATGAAAATACTATTTTCTCCGTCTGAATCATCAGTACCTCCAGCATCTTCTACCTTTCCCATCAATTCATAAGTTCATCCTCTTCGCCAATTGTTGTATATTCAATAAATCAATACTCAAGCTTGTAATTTAATTATGATTTATTGTATAATGTAAGAAGAATCACATAAAAGAAGGAGAGTTGGTATTTGACTGACTAACGCTACATTCATGATAAACAAGAAAGCGCAACGCTATTCAACTATTTAGAATTAATTAAAAATCATACATTACAGAAAGATACGCCACCGCCTAGGGCAAAATGGTATAGTTTTTGAATCCGATACTAGTGATAATAACGACCAGCAAATAATTTTCATGGATGCAAAGAGCGTAATTAGTAATAGCAATGACATCTATTTGGACCGGTCACCAGTTCCTTATCACGCAAGATCAAGAACGAGATCAAGATCAAGAATTAATGAGAGGTCAAGACTTAGCAAGAGGCTGAGATCAAGATCAATATCAAGTTCAGAATCCTTAGAATCAAGAGTAGAATACGAGGATTCACTTGATAGTTTATCAGAAAGTGTTAAAGCCTTGGTGGGCACAAAATTTGATGCTATGCAAGATCAAATTGATCATTGATCGGCGTAAATTATCAAGAAAATCAGTTGTCGAAAAAAAGAAAAGTTCACGTAGTAGAAAATAAAGATACTGTAATATTTATATAACAATTATAATTTATAAGTAATTACAATAACCTTACTTTATTTTTCAGAAATCGATCAATAGAACGACAATTGTAATGATTCAGATGGTCCTAATCAAATAGAGCTTAAAGAAGAAATTAAGCGATTGAGAGAGACTTCACGCGACAAAATGGTAAGAATTCCAACTTTAGTATATTAAGTTGTAATTGCCTACGTACATACAAAAATGATTTACATTTTGTATTTTTTAGATTTATATTGGCCTAAGAAAATATTACGAGTAAATGTTATGGGAATTAATGCAAAGATTTTCTCAATATATAAAATTTTTATTGAGAAAATATAAAAATAATATACTAATGAATAAGTATATTATAGAAAAAAAGACCACTGTATGTTTTAATAAAAAAAAATCGAAACGAAATGACTTGTTTTAATCCGAAGACTTTTTTATGTTTCGAATAAAATGATACAATATATCAATAAAATGTATATACTCTGCTTTTTACCATTAATACTATAAATTTTACCTTTATGCATCAGTTACATAAAACTAAAACTTATATTAATTATCATAACAATTATTTATTAGAAAAAAATAAAATGTATTGATTCCCAATTAATCTTGTATTAATTTCATATTAATATCAATTAAACTATACCATTGAATTATCGTTATTTAAAATAGTTATTAATCATCTACGATAAAATCTTTAATTCCTTTGCATCGTTATTGTTGATTTTAATATATCAACTATTAATGTTTTTGAAAATCCCACGTGGGTAATTCAATCAAATTTTTGAAAACCCCACGTAGTTTCCCACATAGGATCCCACATGGGTATTTCCTACCGAGGGCACTATTTCGACATCAACGTTTTCAGTAGCTACAGATGACTTATTATGTTTATTTTTGTTATGCTATGTTATAATATTTTGCTATATTATTTTTGTTTAAATAGTCAGAGAGAGTTGCTACAAAATTTGTCTATCCTAGTGTTATGGGTTGTTCGGCGTTTATCAAGCAATCAGGAGTAACATTTCTTTCTTAACATCGATATCGTTTATACGACTTTTTACCAATATTTTCGTCAGAATACCTATCAAAAATAACTTGACTAAATAATTTAGTCCATAATTCTGAGCGATCGGTCAATTTTGAAAATTTCTATGTATTTCTTACCATGAGACTATACTAACATATGTAAATGACACAGTGTATTGCGTTCTTGAATCTCGTTGCCATAAAATAAAGAATAAAGCTTTTTAAACAGCAAATTGGAATCGATTTCAAAATCGAACCTATTTATTGGCAATCCTAACGCTGCATTTACTAAAATTTTAACTTTGAATGTTTTTTTTAATTTTACATTGGCCAGATTCTTGTTATATGGCAATTGATATTTGGCCCTTCTACTATTCCAATTGAAAGTGATAGCAGTTTATCATTCTGATCAAATACGTGATGCTTTTCCAACCAGAAAACCAATTTGGCGACATCTGCTTCATCTCTCATTCTACGACTATTAGCCATATCGATATGCTGTTCGCTGTTGGCCGTTTGTAAATCCACGTACTTATCTAAATAATTCATAACATCAAAGGCTAATGACATTCTTAGTAAATATCAGGCGACTACACTAGGTGTTATCCCTCATCCGTGACGTAAATCTGTACCAATAAACGATCCAAAGGCATTTTAATGTTCATGATGCTCCATACTCCAGCTTTTTCGTTCCTCCGCATAGTAAAATTTGCTTCTTCGGCAAACATACGACATTCTTCTGTAGGCATAGTCGATTCAAGTTTTGTCATATATTGTAAATTGATTAGTAGATTTTTGGTGTACGCAATGTGACCCGCTGCAGGAAAAATCGGTAGCATTTGTTGTATTGATTACAGAGACGATTTCCAAAATCCTCAACGTTCGCACTCTACAAATTGTAGTCCAATAAGAATAGCTTTCATAAGTTGAACCTAAAATTTTACTGTAGATCTATTTTTCCAGCTTATTTAATTCAGCAATGAATTGAGTAGTTGCCAAACTCATCAATGGATCATTATAACATTGTACCATCGTAGGAGTTTTACTCTAATTGTTCAAAAACTTTTTGAAATATTTTTCGACAAAATCATTCACAGCAAACTTTTTGCAAATAATTATACCTAACACAGCAAAAGTTCAAATGTATGCTCGTAAAGCTTTTGCAAATATATGACCTGTGAGTATTTTCTTTACCGATTCTGGCACGTTTATAACAGACCATAGCTCATACAAACTACGTACTACCTTGGTCTTGATGTGTCTCTTGAAAAAACTAGCTATGTAGATTTTAATGAAGGCGAGATCTATCCTGGAGAATCTGAAATTACTATTGCTAACCAAGTTGTTACTTCCTCCCGCAACAATAAGTTTCTTAGAATACATTTTCATACCAATTCAAATACAACAGACATCTGCGGTACGTTCATGAGAAAGCCAACCGATCATTAAGCATCATCAAGTTCCTCAAAGGGATTTCGTATTTAAGTAAAGTGTCATGAACAGAAATTTGCGCACTTCTTGATGTTTTGCGTCTACTGTTTTATCGCACAAAACACCTTAGTTAGAAAAATCAAAAGAATTTTCATTTAATGTTTCATTTTATAATTTAACAGCGTGCCTAGTACTTCATATAATTTGATTCTTTTTGAATGAAAACTAAATCAAATGTCTAATGATGATCTTCTTGTATGGGAAGAATGAGAATTCGTTCTTTTACTTACACCGGAAACATTACCTATGTATACACTATCTGTGAGAATCGAATGCAAAAGATCCATATTATACACTAATCAGCTGTTCTGTCCGGCAACGATATATTATTTCCTATATAACTGCAAACAATGCTCAGCGGTCTATATAGGTGAAAGTAAACGTTCTTTAAAAATTAGATTAAACGAACATTAAAAAAACATTGATTCAGATAGAGTAGTAGCTACACATATAAGAACGTTCTCACACGAATTTGACTGGAAGAAAGCTAAGATATTGGATTATGAAAAGAATTATAAGAAACGAAGAATATCTGAAATGTTACACATTGGCTTACATAAAAACAAGTTAAATAGAAAAGAGGATATACAATATCTTAGTCACACCTATAAGCCTTTATTAAGATCGATGAGGAAGGGATAATAGATGAAGAGTATATATATATGTATGTATGTATATATATATATATATATATATATATATATATATATATATATATATATATATATATATATATATATATATGGGTTGAAATACTTGATTTCTCAACTTTATTGTACCTTGACTGTGCTACGATCTATTCATTTTAGCCTATAATAATTTGACTACGAGAGAAATCAGATATACACATATAATTATATATACATATAATTATATACTATTAAAATTACTTGTGCAAACTCTATTGTTAATAATTTGTTAATAATTAGTTATAGTAATAGCATCTATTTGGAAAGAACATACAATAAAATTAGATTGTTGTTTTTGACATATATATTAATAATTTTGAAAAAGTAAGAGGGGTGCAATTAAAACGAGCAAGGGTTCAATTTTTTCGCCTTGTTTCTTTGCAAAAATATTAAGTATTACTAAAGATATCGCAGTTGCAAAAAACGAAAAAATTATCATAGTTTTTAATTTTTTTTTGGGACAACTGAAGGGGTTTAATTAAAATAATTAGCATTTTTGGAGGGTTTAATTAGAGATATTTCGAATGGTATTTTTTTTTCACTGTCCATTACACTTTGCAGGCTAGGGTAAGGGGGGTGTATACACCGATCTGCACTAGACGTCTATAGTCTGCGCAGTAGATTTAAATTTAACAACGTTCAGCAATGGTTCTCATGGCTCTTACTCTTGTGCGGGGAAGCCAAAAACGGAAAAGTCACTCTGAATTCTTTATTACTTCACTAAAATGAACTTTGGAACACATATATCGATGTCGAAATTCGCGAGGAATAACTTTTATCGGAAACTTTTTTCAATATTTGGTACGGTTAACGAGATTTTCCGGAAAAACTAATATTTTTATGATTTTCCATGTTTTCCGTGAGTTTTGAGTTTTCAATTTTTCCTCTCTGAAGAGAGAGAGAGAGAGAGAGAACTACCTTTCACTTACTTTCTACCGGAACATAAATACATATAGGATAATGCAGAATAACAATATTGCAGATTTATTAATAAATTGATAATATGAATTTTTAAGAAGCGGCACTAGGATCGATCGACAGCGGTC